CCTTCCCTTCCCTTCCCTTCCCCCTCCCTGTCTCTTCCCTTCTCCTCCTTGCTTCCTTTCCTTCCCTTCTCCCTCCCTTCCTTTCCTTCTTTCCCTCTCTTCCCTACTTCCCTCCATGCCTTCTTTCCTTCCCTCCTCCCTCTCTTCCCTCCCTACCTCCTCTCCTTCCCTCCCTCCTTTCCTTTCCATCTTTTAACTTTCTTCCCCTCTCCTTCCTTCCTTCCTGCCTTCCTCCCTTCATTCCCTCCCTCCTCCCTTCCCTACTTCCTCCCTTCCTTCATTCCTCCCCTCCCTCCCTCTCTCCCCTTCCATGTTACATGTATGCTTTTTCTATAATTTAGATTCACATTAAATGTATGTCTCTACATAAATATTTAAAATGGAAATGGAAATCAGGCCAGGTTCTCCCCTCTCAGGGTTAAGTTCCATTTCTGCAAATTGTTTTCTGCCCTATTTCTTTTCCTCTGTCTCTGTGCATCTAGACATTTTCTTGGCATCTATAACTCTTCTGAGGTTTCAGAAGATCTTCAGAGAATTGCTGGTAATTGACCTGTTTGGATTGTACATGACTGGCATTTGCTAAAAGATAATACAACCCTGCATTTTGTTAAGTGCTGGTTGTGATATTAACTTGTGGGCAAATCAGAATAAAGGCTCAAGAGACATTTAGACAACTTCATTTTTTCCTTACCGTAATCTCCATTATAAATGAAGCACTTTGGTCTCAGCTTAAGACATTCACATATTCTTCAACTTGTCAGCTCTGTTTGTTCAGAAATGAATACACCCACTTTGTTTCTTTTCTTTTCTAAGATGTTACTGTACACTCCAGAAGAACAATCAACATAACATCACAGTCAAATGATTTAACCTTCTGCCACTTCTCTAACCACTAAAGTGTTCCTGCCTGCCACTGCTAACTGGGTATTGGAACATGTGTAAATGTTTTCTGAGAAAGCGGGATTATCCAATGTAGTTAAAGCTTATGTTGTCTCCTTAGGAAACAGGAATAATTAATAAGTCCAGGTCAGCCCTATCCCAGAGGAGTCTGAATAAGCCCTATTTGTTTTAGGTTTTCAATGTAACAAACAAATCTTGCCCCTGGCTACAGTAGTATGATTCTGGAGGAACATACACGTTTACCGCTGCTGTGATTTCATAACAACCAATTTCAGCAAAGTTCCTCATATTAGCGGCCTTTTTAAGAGACAAAAAAAATTAAAAATGAAATTAGAGCCTAAAAGCAATGTATTCATAGAAGCCAAATGAGCACGTGCCATCTTCTTTGTATAACGTAAGAATTAAATACTGCTGATTGTTGCAAGTAACAGTGAAAACTCACTACACTGCCTTTGGGCCTGCAATAACCTGGAGGCTAATTAGCTGCAGAGAGGGCTTTTTATATTGCACTTTATATTAAATAAATTCAGCTCAAATCCATAGAGACCAATAAGCATTTTTAGACAGCGTAGCTCAATTTCACCCCAAAATTGATCAAACTACGTAAGAGTCTGGCTTATGAGATGTCTGATTAATGTACTGTCTTCCAATAAAGCAGGTACTTAAGATAAAAAGAGCAAATGAGAGAGGAAAGTAGAGGAAGTCTTTTCAGTGTATTTTTCATCATTTTGTATCTTTCTTGGGATTTTTATTTTTTACCTCTGAGCTCTGTCACACTGCCCTAAAATGCATCATTTTAAAACCAGAAGCTGATATGATCAAGTGAGGAAAGTACAGAAAGCATACTTAGCACTCTATTTCATGGCCTATCCAAATATCTCATTACCTCTCAGCCAAATCTAAAGATGTACATTAACTAGAAAAGTATGCATGCAAAACACTGCAATGCTAGAGTGAAGAGCACAGTAGAGATGCCAGTGAGGAATTTCTGTGAGGGCAGAGAAGTTGTGCTTTGCTCACAGAAGCACCAATTAGGGTGCACACAGATCAATACACCAGTCACCAGAAAAAGCATATGCCTCAGCTGATAAGGGTGATGAAATGACATATAGTAACATCATTTACCATTAAAATGGCAAAGCGTCTTAAAAGAAAACCCATTCCTTCCAAAATAGGTGCCACGTATGTTGATAATATCTAGCAGCGAGTGATGTCTTCAGAGATCCAAGTATCAACAGGAGGATCCTCAAGCCCACCTGCGTAATTCACATCCCGTCCACAGAAAGCTACTAAACAGAGCAGAGCATGCAACTGGACCCACCATCAGCGATTGCTTTACCCCATACTTTTATACTTTTCCGATATCTTTATCCCAAATCTAAAATGAAGGAGTGGATACCAGTGGGGTTTTACAAAACTATAATAAAATAAACTTGTCCCATACTTAATACCAGCATGAGTCGATTCTTATTTTGGGTGTCCAATGTAGAAATAGTAAGGGTCAAAATTTATGCAGGAAGAAGGTCAGTGAGATCTAATAGCTCCTCAAGTTATGACTCCACTAATTAACACTAGTATAATCTTCATCAGAATAGCTCTAGTCACAAATTAACAAGCAAGCTGTTTCTTTACCATCAGAGTCTCAATTATTCCCAAATGGAACCAAGCTTGTTCCACTACTTTCTCTCACGTTGGATAAGGCAAAGTTGACGTGTTTTGATTTTCAGACATGCAGAATGGAATAGTAAAGTAGCTAGGCTACTTTATTCACGGGCAAGTGTTTGGCACTAACATACAACCTTATATTATAACCTAATAACCTCATATTCTAACTTTTTTTTTTTTTTTTTTAAATACATGCTTAGAAGTTTCTCAGTTTCAGGACTAAAGTAAGTCTACTGCATCCTGGAATTCCTCTATTATGAAAACTCCTGTTGCAGTGTTTATCTTGCCAGTGTGGTTGGTGGTCATTGGTCATGATATCTCACAACTGGCATCATCCTATATATTACCACTGACAAAGTTTAGGCTGAGTCCAGTGGACACAAAGACAGTGGGGAAAAAAAACACAATTCCACAGTATTTTTGGAAAGCTGAAGCTCATGAATAAAATGAACAGTTAAAAAAAAAAATAGAATTCCTGCTGTAGTCAATCAAGAACTTTTGTTAATGAGTTCCAGACAGTCTTACATTTTTTAAAAAGCATAAGATTTTGGATTTTTGCCATTTAAATCAGCAACTACTGTATAAATTACATTTGTAAGACCCATTGGCTCCAACCAGAGAGACTGAGTTATGAAAGGACCAGGTAAGAGGAAGTGGAAAAAAGGACAAGCTATAAAATATCTGTGAGTAAGATAACTAATATCACTACATATATAAGTTCCCATTTCTTTGGCTTCTTTCATGGATATTCAAAGATAACAGGAAGACAGATTCAGAAAGAAAAAATAAAAAGAGAGACAAATCCTGCAAAGGAAGGTCATATTTACAAATGCTTAATATTAATTCAGGTTTATAGGAAATGACTTATGAGTTGCTTTTTAGTATTAAGAGTTTTTCATGAATTTTTCAGGAGAGATGGTAAGATTATTAATGAACTAATAGCCATAGGAAAAAAAATTATTTCTAACAGTCTCCAAAAATCTAGCAGTTTCACTTCTGTCAGTAAAAATGAGGTAATGTAGCAAAGTCCCAACTATGAGGAAACATGAGCAGATTTTTAGATCACAGTTAAGATTCATGTTATATCCCACGCTGTGCTGAAAGGGAGATCCTAACCAGTTAAAAACTGCATTAAAAAAAAAAAAAAAATCTCATTTCTTTGTTTTTTTCCCTTTGTTGTACTATTTTTTTTAATTAAAAAATGTTTTTTATTCCAATACTATATACATTTTTCTTGTCATACAGATTACATTTTTCTCAGCTTTAGTAACGAAAATAAATGTTTGCTTTTGTTTACAGCCAATTTCTCTTACGGATTCAGAATCAGAGTATATTAATTCTAAATTCACGGCTGGAATTGAGGACAAGGAAGGCATAATGAAATATATTTTTTTTCTTCTAATTAGTAGAAATGTTTCTACTCCTTTTCTGTCTTTGAACATCTTGGTAAACTTCTGTCTTTCAGTTAATCTGGCACATTTGTTTGAAAAGAACATGTGGCAAAATGGAAGAACTTTCAGTTAACGTTTCATTTTGCTGCATTTTCTCACCACCTTTCTAGTTTGGTCAAATATGCACTGATCTTTTAACCATCACCTGAGGAAGTTAACAAACTCATAAGCAAGGTAGATGGATGCGTATAAAGCAAGAATCATCAGTCACTTGTTGACAAATAAATCCCAGAGCAAATACCAAAATATTTAATTAAGCATTTAGATCTAGTGTGTGTGTGTTCCTTTAAGCTAATGGTTATTCATTCATTCAGTCACAAACGACAACGCTTTTTTTCATACTCGAGTCTTCTCTGGTGGCCTATCCCACTGCACGAACATTTTCATATAGATGTACAGTGTCATTCATTAAAATGTATTTCAACATTTAAGTGTACGTTACTTTTCAAAAATGAAGATGCCCCCTGCTAACCTCCTGCGAGAGCATTTGTGTTTCATCTTTAGCATAAATTCCTTGTGCTTTAACACAGCCCAAGCTGCACCCAGGACAAGATTGCTTACAAACGCACTTCTCTTCTGCTTGTTTCCTGCATGTATTCAGAGCAGTTCTGTTCAACATCACCATTTTCTGTAATCGGGACTGCCTTCTTTGGTTACTTAGAGGGGAATTTTATCCCCAAAGCCCCACAACTGATGTTGTTTGTAATGCTACAGCTGTCATGCCACTAAATCAGCTTCCAGGACAGTGACTACTGATGCAATGAGCAGACAATTTCTGCACTCCCTCAAAATGACCAGGAGAACCAGAGATGTATACTGGAATATATTACCTTAGAGCAAATTCAAAGAATGTGAATCTCTCTCATGTTCACAAGACCAAACTCCTTCCCCATAAATGTAGAAAGCTCTTGAGCATTTGGAGAAAATTAAACTAAATACATCTTGCCAACAGCAAATACTCAAAGGACAATTTTTGTTTTAATTACTGTAGACATAGAAAAAGGAGTTATTTAAGGAAGTCTGTCAACTAAAAGCTATATATAACTCCTGAGGAATTCCTTAGTGATTTTCCTGGTTAAACAGATTTCCTTAAAAATACATTCGTTTGCTGCACAGACTGGAATTATTGTAAAATGAAATAGATATTTTTTCAAAAGTCTAATGTGACTTGCAATGCTAACACAGCACACACATCCATTGGACAATTTAGGTTTGTCGTACTGATCTTAAAAAAATGAGTAGGCATTACAAAGCCAATCTTTTTATCTACTGAGAAAAAGGGCAGAACGAAGCGTTAACCACTGGAGTTGAAGCTCCCTTCCTCTCACTGATTTCAGTAAGCATTTTTCCAGATCTGAACATTTTTGTTATGTTCAGTGGTATTCCATTCAGGGCTGTGATATCCACTGAAGCCAAAGAACAGCAAAGTTTCATCCTTTAGAGACTCCAATTTCAGCTAAATTACCCAGGGGGCCATTCTCTGAATTAGCATTGCAGAGTATGTACCAGCAGTGAGGGTTCTACTGAGCAAGGAAACAACAAGAGCAACAGACCAAAGTGCACACAGTCCTGATTCTGTGCTATCATGAAGGCACATATACATATACATTTTAACCTTTTGCTTCCTTCCAGATTCTGGGATGAAATTCTTACTCAGCTTTACATTCGCCTTAATTTATTTCATAATATTTATGTCAAAATTAAATTTAAAAAAAAATTTTAATGGTTTTGTAATTACCTTTGTGAAGATTTAGAGTTTATGTACAATTTATAATTGAATGCTACCTTTATTTTATAGCACAGTGCCAGTCTGCGCTGTTGTGAAAGACCTGTGAATAAATATTCATAGGGATGAATTCAGAGGTGATGGGCAACACAGACTGAGGAAAAGGAGCCCAGAGTCTGTGTTGAGGTAAATCATGAAAAGAGGAAACAGAAGAGGAAAAGCAGCTAAGTGAAAGGTATGTAACACCTAATCTAAGGCACATTTCTCTCTCCTTCAGCACACACAAAACTTTTACCAGTTTCTTTTTATGGTTATTGAATGCCCACATTACCTGAAAGTGGAATTTATTGTGCTGAGTGTTAAACTTTAAGTTTTACAAGCAAGCTTCTTTACAAAAATATTTCTTATCTGTAATCTACATCATCAGCTCTTACACTACCACTAAGTTCATCCCATTGACTCCCAAGACGGTTACCATGAACATATGTCAGAATATATGTCAGCCTCAGAAACACACATTTGTACTAGAGTGACTATTTTCTGTTCCTTATTCCCTTGCCTCTATTTTAAATGTGTGTGTATGTTTGCTTAGAACTTAGCTTCTGAAACAGAAGGACAAAATGAGCAATTCTGACAGCTGTGAAAAGATTTCCATAATACAGAAAATCTAAATGCCTCTTCAATCACTTTCTCAATGAAAACATCCCAGGATCGAAGAAATCCAGGGAAAGAGGAAAGATTAACCTAGAAAAGGCAAATTAGCAATTCAAGTGAATAAATCTGGGTTTGTTGCTTCCTGCTTCAACAGTATCCAAAGATCTGGGCCTCAGTGCTACAGCTTTCAGACGTGTGCAGGGTGGACAGCAGCTTGTGTGAAGTGAATCAGGGCCAGCACAATTGTTTGGAGGAGGAGGGATGCATGGTCCCTGGCAGCTCAGAAGTGCCTTTTCTCTCTGGTTTCATGCAGCTGACATACCAAGCAGAGGCGCCAGAGAGAACATGGCGCTGTTATGGAAATAAATGACTTTGCAGACCCAACGGAAGGAGGTGGGAGCAAAAAAGCATCCTCACCCCCTGCCCTGGCAGCTGTGTAAATCTGTCCCTGCCAGGCGAGCTCCGGGAGGCGCTCATCGGCCGCCTCCCCGGGAGTCAGTGAGAGTTCAGGTGCTTACTGTGTCATCAGGCTTGACCTTCAGATGCGACACTGCCAGGACGTTTGTTTTCCCACAGCAGTGATTGCTTCAGTCAATTATTATTGCCCATCCTAGAGTGCAAACACATAAGGACTTGATTTACAGTGCAAAAATGTACATCCTGAATTTGTTTCCTCTTTTGTTTTTGGACTGTCGGAGCATCTCCACCTTAAAGAGGTGACAGCAAATTACTTCATAGGTAAATATAGCTATGTATAGGAAGGATAAATAGCAGTCATTCAGGTCACTGTGGGATGAGCGTTCAGTATAGCTTCGGACCAGTTGTGTCAGATGCGACTATATATTTTAAGCTTTTTGTTTTAAAATTTTTATTCTTTCTGCTTTTCTTTGAAGAAATCATCATTAGCAAATTTCTCGATTTGGAAATCTAACCTTAAATCCATTTTAACACAGATTTAAGATTGCGCATTCAGTTCTTTAAGCAATGTTTAGGTATTACCAATATACTGAAAGATAGATGAGACAGCCTCATGGTAATACAGCTTTTAACCTTTCCTCTCCTCTACCATGACGGCGGAGAATTACAGTAAATGATGGTTACCTTGTCTGCAGTATGGACAATTGATTTGACCTCACTGCATCTGATGCTCTAATGGACTTTGTGGCTGAATCCCTGGAGATATAAAATATGTCCAAGTGAATTGGGGCAGGTTAAAGAACGGACCTGCTTTTCATGGCTGGCTCAAGCTATAATAGATCTCCCGGTTGTTCTGAGAAGAAGATTAAAAATGATCAATATCCAAATCATTAAAAAAAAAAGTGGTGGCTTCTGTAAATCTACTGTAGGTGGGTTTTTTTTCCTGCTAAACACCGGAGGGGGGTGTCTGGGTTGATAACATGAGTTTCTATTACAAATGTTTACTTCTGTTTACTCTCTAGTAGCACGCTCCTTTTTATATTAAGAATCAGACACAGATGGCGTGATTCAGCACTGCTTTCCTGAAGTCATACTTGTTTACACCATGAAGAGTCAGGCCTTAGGTCTATTTAATATAGATGAAATAACAATACTGTAATATATTTCCTGAAGCAGAAAATAAAATCAAGGACAGATTTCAGAGAATGATGGCAACTATGATAACTGTGACTGTCCTCACAGTTCTGCTAGCCACAGTGTCTAAGACAAAAATAAAGGTCTAATTTAGTGAAGGAAAATGAAAAAAAGATTTTTCCTTGGCTGCTCTGAGTCCTTCATTTGGCAAAGTGCAATTCAACATCTTGTTTATCCTTTCCCACTCTCTAAGGAACATGTCTCTGCTCTTTTCCCACCAGCACATAACAAAGCTCAATGTGAGTGTAAGTCTGTCCAGCCTCTGGAGCAGCCAGGAGAAAAGCTTTCATGCCCCACAGCTGGAAGCTCACCCACAGACCTTCTTCTCTACATACAGCAGCAATGGGCCAGGCAACTTCAGTGGGCTCATATGTATGCACATACTTACCTTCCTGTAATACCCAAACATTAAGAAGACAGATCTACAGCTGATCCATTTGAGGCACGCATGTATTGGGTTTGTATTGCACTTACTGAGTAAACTTGAAATGTGGAGGAGCCCAAATCTCTATTCTGGACAGTTTGAGGTTGTTTGGATCTGACATTTCTGTGTGTTCACTGACAGAAATAAGCTCATTATGAAGTTGTGTTGGAAGATGGATGCCCTTTTTCCAAGTTTTGAGAAGTGTCTAGGCAGAGTATTTGGACTGCATTAGATAAATCAAGTGAATGTGAAAAATCTTCATTAGAAGGGAAGAAATATGTGGTTTTAAGTGTTAAGACAATTCCACATAACATTACCGTTTGCATCTACACTCACAGTACGCAGAGAGATTCATGCAGATGTCCAAAAATTGAAAAGGCTTTAAATGTATTTTATCTAATTGTTTGTTGAACAGTATTTACCTTTTGCCTTCCACAGGTTGTTTTGAAATCTGAATGTGTAATAACATCTCTGAATGTTTTAATTTAAGCTAATGTGCTATTCCTTTATGTAAAAAGTAAAGGTATTTTGAAACTCTTTGCTGAATACTCTGAGATTGTCCATCCTCTGTGCTAGCACTGAGCTGAATGCCTAGCATCTGTGCATAGAAGAGGGAACAACTGCTGCCCCTCCGATCCAGCTATTCTTGTATCTGGAAACATTGTCAGGTGCTACAAGCATCACGCCATCTGAAAGGCCAAAGTTGAGTACTACGTTATTGGAGTAGATGACACCTTATTCTTATTCTTCAACAATTCTAACAACTTAGAGTCCCTCGTTGTCCCTTTATGAACACAGATGTCATTGTGAGGGGGGGACAGCCAAAATGACAAGAAGGTGACCTGTCAGTGAACTCAGGAGCAGGTGAGGCCTGTCAGCTTCTAATTTGAAACTGGTGTCAGTCCTGAGGAATGGCTGGTATAATCACATTTGTAACTGATATCCTATAAACGCTGCAAACATTCACAGTGCGCCTGTTATGAGTAATATGAAATTAACAATTCGTGTTTATGACACAAGACACCGACTGAATCAAGTAGGTCTCCGTAACTGGATCAGCTCCGTCTGCCTTCTAGAGCAGTGCATTGAACTGCTTCAGCCAAGCCAAATTACTGTGTGCTTATGTTACAATAGGCATTGTATTTATTTTGAAGACAAACTTTTGTAACTAGGTGTAAAGTGAGGACCTCAGAACTAGCTCCTAGCTCAAGTAATTGCATATAAAACTTCTCTTGCTCAAGCCCAGCCATTAAGATGTTCATGACTTTTAAGTTAGAATTTGGGACCTAACAAATCACATGTTGTAGCTCACATTTTCTAAATAACTGAAGGGAAGGCTCTGTGTAAATCTCTCTCAGACACATAAATTACCAGCTGCATGAATACTGCCATTAAGACATGCAGACAAGTGCAAGGGGTGGGGACAGGGCAGGATGCCCGAAAGAGGTGGAGTTACAGAGAAAACAAGGCATTTGCTCACTGAGTAATTTATGCCTTTTCTGCCTTCACTGTAGCTGAGCAAGAATGAACACCATGAGGCAGTGTGTCAGGCACTGTCATTTCACTACCATTGAGACATTTTTCTGCAAATTAAGTGTTTTCTTCCTATTTCTAATCATTTCCACCTGATTTTTTTATTAGGAAAAGTCAAAATTATAGTATGTGAAGCAAAGATTTGAAATGAAGTTGCATTCCAGGATAAACTGAAGCTCAAGTGCATTTCTCATTTGAAGACAGCAAAATCTCACAATCCTTTGCATAATTATTTCCAATCCAAACTGACAGGAGCCCTAAAGTTCAGTTCCTTTCCTGATTGCACTGCTACTAAGCTTGGTGCATAGATCAGAAGGTCCTTTCCAATGACATGCAAAATAAAAGAAGAACCAGACAAAAAATCTATTTCAATTATTACACTGGGATTTAGTTAGCAGAGCTGAAAAAATGTGAGTCCAAATTCCAACTAGCTAATGGAGCTTTCTGAGCAGTTCTATACACCTTCATACAGGCAATCCAGTGGAGCTAACAGCCTGTTGTAGCACTCTTTAGTGGTAGGCAAATAACACTCATTTCCATTTTCTACAGAAGAACTGCATCCCACAAAGCTTCAGCAATGTAACCAAGGCCAGGTACAGCATTATAGCTGTGGTTCAGACACTGACATCCCTTGTCCTCTGACCCAGCACTGACACAACACACTTCTAACACTGCCTAGTTCAAGTTGCTGGCCATGAATACCACCTAATCAGCAAAGTAAAAGTATGATTTCAAAACCAACCTACAAAACTGCTTCAACCACCCTACGAAACTCCATCGTACCTAAGAAAAGGCCTAGCTCTAAATTTCACAATCACACTCCACCACCTAAAAACACTCCTGTGAGAAGGATCCTTGACTTTCATGAGTCAGGGCTGGAAGCTGCACCCCACTGCAGTTGATGCAGTCATCTCTCAATGTGTAGAACTTGTCACGTTACTCCAATGGCACAGCACAGTTGTTCAGTTCGGATAAAGTAATGTATTGGAATTGTTGAATCAAGGCCTGATTCACTGATTGATCACCTGAAGCAAGGACTGGGCCAGCTTTAGGAACACAGGTGAAGGCAATTCAGCTGTGTGACCTGAAGGAGTGGAACCTGGCTGCATCTCTCTAAAAGCCCATTTAAGGGCTGACTAACACTAGCAAAGGATCTCTTTCTGGAAATCCTTTCTCTGTGGAGCTTTTCGTTGCAAGCCTAAATTTTTTGATACAGGTGAGCATTCCTTCCCTGTTTGCTCCTTTGCTATATCACTACGGTACTCTTTCCAAGTGTATTTTGTTGACTGTACAAGTGCAGAAAACTTTGGTAGCTGTTCAGAGCTTTTCTAGAACCTGGTAACATATGTTTCAGTTATCCTCCTACTTACACAGGTATAATTATTAGAATTCCCCACATGGTTTACGAGGAGAGCTGTGTAACAAGGCCCAGCACGACAACCAGGTCAGCTCCAGGGGCTGATGGGCAGTGGCACCACCTGGGAGCTCTGGGCACAGTGCCTCGACTGGATTGCTGCTGTAGCTTACCTGTATGAGTCTTCTAAATCACTGGTCATATAAAATGCTCCTCTGCCAAATTGGTTATGGTTTTGATATTGGCTGTAAATATCCATTATCTTTTGATTTCCTAGCTAAGCAAGCTTGAGTGTGTTTATGTCTTCTATGGCTTTCATTAGAGTAACACTCTGATCTAGCATAAGATCAGAACAGAGGAACTTATGATTATTGATAAACACTAATATTAGCTTCTTACAGACCTTCCTTGTGATCCTTGTACTGCTTGTACTTGTAAGGAGCAGCTGGCACCCCTCAGCTCAGCCCATTACCTGCAAGGATCCCCTGAACACCTTGCACTGGCCATGGCAGTACTGTAGAAAGGAGGCTGCAGTGGGCAATTCCGAGCTCCTGCTTCCAGTGCTGGGCCCCCGTGAGGCTGCCAGAAGACCAAAAGACAAGATGAAGAAAAAAAAAAAAAGTCAACAAAAAACTATTATCTTTTCTCAAAAACAGAAAGTGGAAGAATGAGACTCTGGCCTTTGTGGTCAGAGAAGACTGATCTGAAGATCTTGAGAAAAATCCGCATACACAGAAAGAAGCAGCAGAGCACATCCGTTTTCATGACAGAGTTTGGTAATATTTTGAGCACTGAGGTCCTGCACTTCCTCTTGACCTCACAGCACCACTTTCTGTTCATACAATTAATATTGGGGAAGCTACCGTTCCCAGCAACTTTCATTTTTAAGATAAACAAAATCACTCCTTTCAGGGTAATCTTGAAATGAATAAGTGGCAAACTTAAAAGCAGGCTTACCTAGTGAAGAGATGTAGGAGGGAAAATGGGAATATAAATGTATGGCCCAATTTTAATTTTATTCATTTCTAGTACATTAGGGCAGGCAGTATTGGAGTAGGAGAAAAGGAAGTTTGACTTTTGGGGTCTTTTTTCTATATCATGCTGAATGGAGAGCAACGCTACACATAAGGTCACTGTGTGGGAGATGGTACTTGAGCATGAGGTGTTTTTCTGACCAGCCTGAATCAAGGGCTTGAGCAGCCTGTATCTCATCCAGCTCCTGTAACTGTTGTCTTTTGGGGATTTTATTCCAAACTTCATGAATATTTAGCAAGGCTTCTGAAATAAACTGGCACTAGCAGTATACACTGAGACCGTGAACCAATGATTGGGGAACTAATCTGTTTCAAATCCTTGCTCTGCTCAATTCCATTGCAGGTTTAGTGATGAGTTCATAAATAACAGCTGTTTGCTGACCATGGCTCCCATACACGAGTGCCCTAATGACTGAAGATTATTTTTTTTTCCCCCTATATACAGAAATTCCATCTGCTTGAGAACGTTTCCTCTCAAAACCAATGCATTTACAAGGTTAGTGCTAGTTTTGGTGACTCAGTATTTTCTTTAAAAAGAATACCACAGTATTTCAGTCAAAAACCATAATCAGCATGAACTCAAATGGCAGAGATTCCTAAGCCCTTGGCTGCATGGCAGCCTGCGTGCAGCTCTGGGGTAATTTGAGCGCTGCAGCAGTGACCAGCAAAAAGCCCTTGAAGCAGGAAGGCAGCATTAAAGCCATCCATTAAGCAGTGTTTATATTTACCGTGAGGTGAATTACAAAACTCCTTGTTTTGTAAGTGTTTGAAATTTGAGGGCCTAGGAAAGCCATCTGGGAATGGTACCTTAGACACAAGCTGTTATAACAGTAGCAAAATTCATGGTTGCATCTTACCTGTTGGAGCCCTTCTTCTCCTACTTCCCCAGGAATCAGCACAGCAGAGGCAGTGGGATGCCCACGACTCACAGCCTTTCCTGTTTCTTCTCACTGGAGCAGTCCTGCAGAAGGACAATATAGATTTATTCAAAGGAGACAGCATGGAAGCAGACCTGGATGCATGTGACAGAGCTGGAGGCATCCCAGTGTAATTAATGAGCAGTGAAACAAGTAGTTATTTATGTTGCACATTTCTAATGAACGGGAATTAGTCATGTCTTTAATTCTTAGGTGGCTATTTATGCTGCTTATCTGATATCTGAAAGGAAACTGTACTGAATATTTTCTACTCCAAGGAGGACTGGGTGGCTAAAACAAGATCTAACTTGTGCTTTTGGCAAAACATTAGGAAACTAGTTTCCAATTTTGGAAGTGTCTGGATGTAGTTTTCCATATTTTTTGCTTTCTTTGAGTTTTCCTGACTTCAGTCAGGAGGTGAAATGCCAGAAATACCCAGGGACAACATATCTAACAAGACCGCTCCCCCATGGGCATAGCAGCCCGCCGGGTGTTTTTCCAAACCACCCCTGAACTCTGAACCTCCAAATCATTCACAGATCTCTTCCACTGGGAGATGAAACCACATTGCTGCATGGCTGCAGGAAGGAGCGTGGTGGGGAGCCGTGAGGAAAGCTGTATTTTCCATTGCCTTCCTGAGTTGGGATGAGTGGTGGCCACACTCACTGCATCAACCTCTGCTCGTGCTGGATGCTGTCAGGGATATGCACTGAGCAACATTAATTCTGTGGTCACCCAGAGCGTGAGCACTGCCCTGTTTCTGCTCCAGCTGAAGCCTGAATGGAGCTGGGCTGGGAGAGGCCTCCATTTCCCATTACACAATGGTATTTTCTATTAGACACTAAAGCCCTCTGTCCCTGATGATAAGCTGGTTTTTATTATGAAATATAACAGTTGTATTTTACACGGCTCTTCTGTACAATGCAATTTACAGAGTTCTTCTGGTGGCTCTGTCATTGACAGGGTGCCCTCTAAAGCAGGACTTGTAGCACACCGAAATTTTCATGATTCTAAACTAGCAGGAAAAGAAATATTTCGATGGCTGACAATTCCAGTTAGGTAACTATTATTGAAGTGTGTACAAGATTGCATGTCAAAACATTTTTATTGTTAGCTGGTAGGGATCACACTGACTGACAGCAGCAGTTTAACAACTGAACCACAGCGCAGTTTGTTATTGTACCTGTTTCTCCATAGAACAGCTCTATGTTTTAGCAGCTGCTATCATTTTTAAGTTACAAAGCCTGTTCCCTCTCTCCCACTTTCAGTACCTTTACCAAATTGGTACGAGTGAGTAATAAAAGGAATTTAAAGTGCTTTAATTTTGTTTTGTTATATGGCATTACATTACCATAGCCTCTTAATAACATAACAAATATATACAGGAAATACAGCTGAAGTGAGTATAGAATCATTGAGAGGAGGAGGGGATGTTAGGTCAGGTTGGTGGGGGCTGGTTGTAGTGGCTTTTTTTCCTTTCAGAGGCAGGGCAGAGTGTGGTTAAGACCCAATTGTGCTCCTATAGTTATGCAGTTGAGACACTCCAAACAGAGAATTAAGTGGAAAGCAGAGTTCTGCATCAAGCTGAGATATTAAAAGGAAAACCACTTAACAGAGCAGAAGAGAGACAGTCAACTTACAGCAGCACAGTAGTTTTTCTCACAAAAAAGTTGCCCTTAAATTCCCCTGGCATTACTCACACACGACTTACGCTTGTGCAGCCCGCAGGCGCACTCCGCTAGGTGGCAGGGCAGGCGCTGCCTGCTGGCTTCCCTCAGCTGCTGCCTATGCCTGTAGCACGAGCTCTGTATTACGCGTGTGCTCAAAATTTGTGATTTGATTGTTATCCTTATATTAAAATATTACCTGCAATCACACAGCCGTCCTGAAAAATCCCAAATTCTTTGCCTTGAGATTTTGTAAGCCATGTGTGTGGTTACTTACCAAAAAGTCTTTCATATGACCACATCTCGAGGTGGAAGTTACTCCGATCTGCTGCTATGGGCCGCTATAGGATCTGTATATTTATCTCACTATTTTAAACCCCCCCAAAAAAAGTTGTTTTTAATGTTCTTACAGTCTACCTCAGCACAAATATCACAAATAATCACAAAAACTGCAAAGGAGAATGTTTGAAAGCTACAGAAAAGTTTGGGACTGGAAATTTCTGTTTAGCTGGGTGTACTTGTTCATTCAAGCAGAATGCTTTCACAGGCAGTGATGCTGACTATGCTGCCAGCATTGTGCCCATGCCGGTTCTTGCTTTGTCTGTTCACACAGATAACTGGGTGCACTGTGGCCGTGACACATGGCTGAGCTGCACTGCTGGGCTCACCTGAACGTGTTCCCACATGCAGTGCCCTGCTGGCACTCTCACACAATGTCTGCCTTTCACCCAACATCGTACTTCAACACCATGGCATGGCTGCAGCAGCTGTTGCTGGAGGACAAATACGGAAAGGAAATGGAAAGGAGGTGGTGAGCAGAAAAGTAAAGCGGTCTCAAATAAGGAAGCCCTTTATTTTCCATTTGTTTTTGAAGACTGGTGAATGTGCACCAACTTACTTGCATAGCTTCCACACAAAGGAACTGACTGTTTTGAAAAGGAATGCAAAGATTCACACTTGGGCAGAAAGATTTCAAAGCAGTGAAACTGCTTGGCTCTTAAAAATGTTTTTTAAAAGCAACACTAAAAACTATAATAGGTAGCAGCACAGATAAGACAGCATTAATGAGTACAGTCCTTACTGGTAAACCACTGCTGTGCTTTTGAAGTAAAAATGTCAAACTGTTTTTGTTTGTTTGCTAGGACTCCATCTCTAGCTTCCTCTTATTTTCATTTGAATGGGATTTGGACTCTGCCTGTCACTGTGAAGTACATTGGAGAAGAGTACTGTCAACACAGATGAAGATTCAGTTTGAACAAAATTAAAATAATTAAGTTCTGTTCAACATCAGTTTGGTTCTGCTTGAGTCGCCAAGACTCCTTACACAATTTGGGATGGGAGTTGGGCTTTTTTTTGGTAGACTGTGATTTCCTTGGTTGGAATGCTATGTCCAAAACCACCATCCAGGAGAATGAAGGTCTTCCACCCAAGGGTAACGTCTGTTATCTCCAACATTCGGGATATTGTGTCCAAAACAGGAGATAGCAGCTTTGGAGGAACGTGATTTCAGAGTATTAAGCAGTTCCAAAGACCACTTGGATTTGATCTCCAAATGCCTGAGATAGATACAAGCCTTGAAAATGACCCTCGACACCCTGGGACTTTTTCTGTGGAAAAAGCTGAAGCACCCAGGGGTGTATCCTTGACTGTGCTGCTGAGTCAATTAATTACAGTGCTCTAAATGAAAAGAAGCTTTGGTTAATGTAGAAGAAGAAAAAATAGTATTAAGGTTGACAGTTTGTGAACATATCTGCTAAACATACGCATGTTCCTATACAGCAGGAAAAGGAGTTAGAGGAGAGCAATTTTATATCCTAGTGGCTGGGCAGAGCAAGGAGCTGAGGAGACATATGCAGGAGCAGCCCACAGCTCTGCAGCGTTGGTCATGCTGCCAGCAGCCTGCTGGTACAGCCACGCCACACTGATATGCTACTGCAGCCCAGCAGGCTGCCAGGGAACTGCTGTGGGAGCTGGCTGGGGCAGCGACAGAGCCCAGCCAGTTCCCTGCCATCTGCAGCAAGCTCAGCAACACATTGAAGCTGGCTGAACTTACACCTTGGGATGGTTCAGTGACACGTGCTCAGAAACAAGAAGCTTTGCTAGACGGTCCCAGCAGCACAGAAATGCCATATGGATCTGGTAGAAGTGTGAATTTTGTCTCAATTACAGATAATCCTAGCACTGTGCAAGCAAACACCTTGATGAAAGCTAGGGACAATACATTTCTTGGCCTTGTTTAGGAATCAACATTAGGGTTTTCATGGAAAAATGCTTCACAGAAACAAAGACAGGATTTAGCTTTTCCTACCTCTCTTCATTTCAAAATTTTCATTCCTTATCTTGCATAAGTTCACTGAACAGTCACTGTGGCTCATCTACTGTATAAATGCTTGCAGATCACACTGTGCTGTGGGATGTTTTTTCACAGCATTTAGAATGTGCAGCTGCATATGGGAATGTAGGAGGGGTCAGCATTGATGGGGTTCACATTTAGCACTGCCTACTGGAATCCCAAAACTAAAAATGAGCCAGAGGAGAACAGCAGCACTTTGCCTTCCATTCACTTATGGTCAACAAGCAATTCCAAAGATCTACGTCTGATTTCACAATTCTACACAAGCACCCTTGCAAATCTCTTTCAATCCACAGCAATAAATTTGTAGGCACCTGATGATTGGACTGAGATCTGAAATGAACATTAACTTTGGTCCATGAGGAATGTACCAACTATCTATAAGCAGTAACCCAATCAAAACTATCCATGGATTTGAAAAATTCTGTTTGAAGAGAACAATCAGAAGACGTATGAGCATTCTTAAGTTTTTCTGCCTCTCGCTGATTTCAGTACAGTCAAATTGAAGTCAGATTGTAAATGCTTGTCCTTATTGTATTATTGCCACAGACACTAATGTGCCAGAAGTATTTAACAGTAAATTGACATAGCATTAGGAGCATGAATTTGAAACCGACACAATTTATAGGAAACCTACGGCAACTTTGTGATCACAGTTAACAAATCCAGAATTTTCACCAGCAGGACAGACACCCACTCAGCTGCTGTGGCTGGTTTGTTCACGATTTGCCTTGTGAATTCGGATTACAGCCACAACACTCAGTAGTCACGTAAGTGATAACTTCTGGGATAAGGTGTTCATCAGATGATAGACTCAAACCACATAAGAAGCCTCAATCTTTTAGTCAAAAAGCAATTTTGTACTTTTTTTCTAAGGGCTGGGTTCTGCATGAAGTTCTTGACTAAGAATAGCTCACCCTGCCTGTCCAACCCACGGGCTGCAGCAGTGCTGTGAGTGGCCCCATACAACCATCCCCACACAGCTCTGCCACTCACCCGCTGACCCCAGGCACTCCCTGCTATTCCATCCATGCAGTACTGTTATCCCATATCCCTGAAAACATATTGGGCAAATTCATCTTTTTTTTTTTTTCCAAATGTCACAGATATTTTCCCTGTTATTCAGATAGAGAATAACAGACACACACTGATGTGGATGTAGCTGTCTGTATCGCTTCTGAATATCTCAAGCAGCACACCATAGGGTTATGCATATGCCAGTCCTTATAATCTTTTTTTATTTTTGAGTGCAACATGAATTTGGGTGTAATCGGACTATGATGAGGTCCCCTTGCAGTCAGAGGAGCAAGATTAAATATGGCTGTATGAGCCAGCACTGATCCACTGAGAAGTGGGCAGTCTGGACCACAGGTAAGTGTGATGTCAGTTTCCATGCTGTGAGTAATTATGTAATGTGCCCCCCCCCCCTCCCCCACATGGAGGTTACCCATATTGTCCAGAGCTGCTAGCACTGGATTTAGCTTAAAATCCAGGTTTAGCTCCTCTTATAATTGGATCCAAACTTGTATTTCATATCAAAGTATGTAATCCCATAACAATTCTAGCTGTATGGAACAAATGAACAAATGAATTTAATATTAGTGGTTAAAAAAAAAAAAAAAATTAATTTAGTGGACTGTTGTTTCACCTCCACAGGAAATACTTATCTTGTGATTGTGCTAGTACATGTTCCTGATCCTGATTCTACAAGGTTGCAGTGTAGACTGTGGGTCTTAGAAAACCAATCTCCAGTCAAAGGGTCCCACTATTGATTCAACATTTAACAAGAAAATGACATTTGTCAGAAGGTCATGCAGCCAAACTTGCCCCTTCTAGATACAAGAAGTGAATGCTGTATTAACAGCTCAACATATTTTCAGGTATCTTTAATCTTTTTCCTTGCACTCTGTTTTTCTATTGGGCAGTCAACTAAAGTCAGACTCACCTCACTGGCCCAGAAGAGCAGCCTGCATTTAGAGGCAGAAAAAAATCCACATCTTTACACTGCTGACCATATTGTTCTACAGACTGTTGATTGCAAGTCATCAAGTTTCAGCAGTTCAGACAGATCAACCTCTGGAAAAGAGAAGCAAAAAGAAGGAATTAACCTTCTTATATATATAGGATGAGGACACTACCTCAACTGACTGACAAATGCCACTCAATTTTGCATCATATGAATGTGCTGAGGCTGCGGGGCAGCACTAATTAGCACTTCCAGCTATTTGATTGCTGTGGGCAATGGAGATGGGAAAGCAATGGGGGCAGGTGGAGTCCATGGAGGTGGGATGAGGCTACCCTGGACAGACACCATCCCAGGCTTAAATGTCCCTCCTTACAGGGGCAGGTGCCCAACAATTTGCTCAGCTCCAGCGCAGAGCAGAGGGAGCTGTTCTGAAAATTTTAAATGAAGAAGAAAAATAACGTTTGGCTAGAAGAAGGAATTTGCAAAATTTCATAAACACATCATGGGGATTTATTTAAATACTCTTTCAAAACTTGCATAACAAGGAAGTAGATGCAGATAATTTTTATGCATCTCACCAACACTACAAATAAGACCCATTTTTCAATCACAGTATTGAAAATATGTTTCCTCCCTTGAGTTACACGTAGTCAAGATTGTCACAAGGGGATTTTTTAAAAAATTCGTTAAGCTGAGAATATTTAAGTTAACTTTCAGAAGATCTGTCTATGTTTCACTGTTTTAAGTCTCCTTTCGTAATTATGTTTAATGCAATCTCTGCAAAACAAATAAGATCATTCATTTCCCATAGGCATTCACCCACTGCAATGAGCTCAAAGACAATGGCAGAGATAAACAGCTGAGAGTGTACAGCCATGTCCTTCAGCCAAGCAAACCCCCAGGTTTTTTTTGTTGGTCCTTTACAGTTCATCATTCAGAACTGTCACATTTCTCACCTCACAGAAAGAAAAGTCCCACTGGAGGACATCTAGCAGAGCTTTCTCCCCCTCACCAGCAGCCTTCTGCTATGCACACAAGCCACAGCTTAATGCAGATGCAAACATTTCTAACAGCTTTTCCTTAAAGTACCTGCTTGTCACTGGCTTGGCTATTTTTGATGTTGTTATACTTTTGAAATGAAACTTGAAATTCCACCTTTCTTTCAAAAGGGGGTCGAAATTCCCTAGGAAATAGTTTCAGATTCTTTAGGAATGTTTGCATTTTCACAAGAGTCAAAGAAACTAAACGTCTACGTTATATGTCTAAGTTACGTGTAATTTAACAAGGGTTGGATTAACAACAGAAATAATTCAGAAAAGTATATGCTTGTGATTTAATTATTCAATTATTCCCTTCTACTATTCTTAATAAATATTTAAATATTGCAGACAGCAAGATAAGTGAAACATCAACACAGTGCAACATGGCACTGATTCAGGATGCACCATTGGATACTGGACTCGTCAGGCCTTTAGGACACAAGCTAGTCAGTGAACATCAAGTATATTTTTTGATGAACTATTTGCAAATGAGATGTATTCCAAATGTTTGCTCATTTAATTAGAACATAAAAGATGATTTCCTTGGCTGGACCTTGCTTCTGACCCTTCTTGCCTCTGTGTGGTTTGTACGATTCTTGGCTAATGAGATATAGGATATGTACTAAACATTTACACATTAAAGGCATCCTTCATTCAGCATGAAGGTGTTGATACATCAAGGATACCTCAAACATGCTGAGATTCCAGCAACTTGTCAGACAAATTAGCACCTTACCAATCGGGGGTAAAATTGAGTTTCACGTTTCTCCCTGGTGGGAAGAAAAAAATCAAAAATCACTGTAGTTTAATACTTTCTTTGTAAATATGAACACAGAAAGCCTTATAACCTCTGTAGTGTAAATTATAGCCCTCACTATCTGATTTTTAATTCATTGGTTTTAAATGATCCTAAGCAGTTTACAGCAAATCTATTGTGTCATATCTCTCTTAGGGCAGACATTTTTCTTCTATTAAGTCTATCTCTTTTACAAATATTTAAACTCCATATCTATATATATCAAAATGGAAGGAAATCAAAGTCTTAAATTTGTATGTTCCATTAACATTAACTACCAGCCGCTTTTAACTCAAACTCTAAGGGATATGTGGAATTAAAGGACTGTATAGCAATGAAACTACGATGGTTTAATTTTTTTTAAGCTGACTAGTCCTGAAAATTAGTGGATAAAGATTAGGGCTAGGACTAATGCATAAAGACGCAGATTGCCGGCACCATGCATGAGACATGCAGAACGCCAGAAAGACCTACTACCTGGAAATCCAGCCTAGTAAAGTATCTCAACAGACTGAGAGTAAGGGTAAAGTCAGCCATAGCTGCTGTAGACACTACAGCATGAACCAGGGACCACCCAGTGCCTCTGAATCACCAGACATTACACAGCATGGACTGAGGACACTACAACACATGCTGCTACTTACTCAAGATTTGAGGAGAAGGTTACTATCATAAACCCCAAAGATAGGAATTATTTAGGCATCCAATAGCTTTCTGCAACTTACATAGCTGAAACATTTACCTCACTGTGAACTCATCACAAAAACACACATTTTCCAAAATTGTGAGGTCAGCGAATGAAATCAACTTGTAATCTGTGCAGGAGGAGGCGTGAGCTTTCTATGGAGACCAGGTGTGTACCCACAAGTCATTCCTTACTTTCCCCTTGCCAACTTCCTCATTCTCAAATTGAGTTATGTTTTTTTTTTAAATATAGAAAAGAAAGAAGTAGAAAATCTTCCCAGTTGCAGATACTTGAAACTCTTTCAAAAATTTAGTAATTATCATCATGCTAATGGATTTTGTCATCAACCTCTCTCTCTTTATCAATAAACCGTAGTATCTAAACAAAACACACATCCATCCCTGTTCCACAGGGAGTGTGACTGTGATCCCACATCCTAACTTCTTATCCGGAGAAAACTGAAGATTAATTTTGTTATACTACATATATTTGTTCATGCTATATATTTGCATGGAACTCTAGAGCAAGGCTCCTTCTCAGTAACATACACTATGTATATTAAAACACTTGCACACTTTTTTGCCTTAAGGTAAAAAATATCTGACAGATACCACATTTTTAAATGCTTAAGAGAGAAAGAAATACTGACTCCCATGCATAGAGTGCGGTTAAAAAGAACTGATTTACAGACAAGATAGTGAATCTGTAACTAAGTGCTTTAGCATTTGACTAAAACAATAATGGCCAGCACTAATTGCATGTAGTCTGTTGCACAGCTACTGGAATCAAATAGTAAAGAGGATCACAGTTCCTTATTAGTTAGGACCACCTACGGTGATGGAAAGCCTGAATGATCAAAGAGAAGACATTTTTATGCTGCAAAAGTTGATATACTCTTGAGCTTTCCAGCACAATTTAAGATCCAGTACGAGCACTTGACACACTAACATAACACACCGGGCAGCGCAACACATGTGATAATAGACTACACAAGCTTCACTTGCTTGAAAAAGAAGTGAATAATATTCAGTACTATTTTCTTGTTCTCCATTGCATCGCAGAATAGTTCTCTATTATTACCAGAGTGGAATGACTTATTTTCTCCTACTTGAATCAAACCTAGACTAGCTTTTGTTCCTTACACTGTATCATGAGAGATCCCATCACTGCTATCCAGTGATCACTGGATAGGTGATGTAAAAAAACAGGCATTATTTATTTGTAGAAATACAAAGTAATCCAGTGTGATTACTTATGATTTGTAACTTGGTCATCCAGGACTACAGACTTGTTTCTGTCTTGGCTGAGTAGCTGAAATGTTTGGGAGAGAATAATTAATGGTATTCGAGTGACTATAATTACTAAGAGAGATTATCATTTTTAAATTTATAACTGCACTTTGTTTATTGTTGTTCAGTCTCCTGCCTTCAATAGATCATGATGTTTGGTGCTGTAATTAAACAAAATCTACTCTGTGTTATACAGAAGAACTTTATGGTTCAAGTGAAAGGCGTTGAAAAGAAATTAGCGTTAAAAAAACATGAACATTAAATTCTGTTTTTACAAGATATCATCTGTCACTAAAAATCTACCATTAAATCATAGCGGGAACCTAAGAGAGCTTTCATTTAATATAACAAAGACACGTAGGAAGACAGACAGATAACAGTGCTTCCAATAAGAGCAAGTTTTACTGAGCAAAGAGTATAGCAGTTGACTTTGTTGCTGTAAGAGGTGTGGGAAGAAGGAAGATTGCATAACTGGCAGAAGAAATACTGATTTTGTTCTTGTATAATTATCCCACACACTGAGAATGGTTGCATACCTTCTGCTCTGCGTTGATGCATTTATTAGTGTGTGCTTATAGTCCAAACTTATATGCATTTCAGACACTGAACTAAACTCCATTCAAAGCAGTTTAGCATTTTTCTCTGAAAGCTCTTCAGAACTCTTGACTTGAACACCTCCAAATTCTTCAAAATCTACTCTGAACCAACCCCATGTTTAAGGTTCAGATCTCATTAGTTTAGGCTAGGAATACTCTCTAATTACTAAGAGAGTTTTCTCAAGTTGCACTTTAGAAATTCATCTTTTTTTGTACACTGTATTCATAAAAAGCTAAAAATTGTGGGGAAATTAGCATTGATGGATGTTTTCTTACTCTCCATCAGGAAATGATGTACTTGAAACTCATTACAGATCTTCATAGAAACTCTGCCGAATGTGCCTTGGGCTTTGTGCTGATCAGCACACACTGAGCTTACTGCATAATTCATCTCTCTTGTGTCACAGTTAATGTATAACATGCATTTCCTGTTAATTATGAAAATAAAGATGCGTTCTTTCTTTTAGAAACATAATCATTAAATTACTACAGAAATTAAGAAACACAGAGATGTGTTTTACTCATTTTACATGAAATTTCTCAGTCAGTGCTATCTTTGGCTCTGAGAACTCAGCAAATGCACCTTGCTACTCCTTCACACATCAGGCAGAGCCTCCCTACTGAAGCCTCACAGGGATAGGTCAGTTAGAACCCTGACATGCTTATGGCCATCAGGGCTACCCTCCTAAATGGAGCTGTGGAGC